CTCCCTCTCCCTCCCCCCCTCCCTCCCTCCCTCCCTCCCTCCCTCCTTCCTTCCCTCCACCCCCCCCCTCTCTCTTTCTTTCTTTCTTCCTTTTTTTTGAGACAAAATGCCCCCGGCAGAGCTAAAACTCAGTCTGAAATGAAGAATGACATGGACATTACCGACCACAGCTGCAGCAGTGTCATTGACCCAGACATGGCCCCTGAACCCCAAAGAAACCATGGCCCTGGCTGGCAGCACAGGTTCCTCAAATCTCATGGCCCCAGCAGAGACTTAACCCTCGGACAGTAACATGGCCCTAAGTGGTAGCTCAGGCCCCTGATGTCTGAGTGGCTCTTAGTGGCAATGCGGGCCATGGCTATCAATACAGATCCCGGCTTGATTGGACCATGAACTCAGACACGGTCCTTGGCAGCAGTCCAGGCCCAGATGACAGTGCAGGTCTCTCTGATCAGCATGGACCCAGCAGCAGTGTGCCTATTAAACACCTACATGACCCCAGGTGGGGTTACGGAGCATGGCATCTGCACAGCCTTTGATGGCAACAGGAAACGTGAACATCAGTGCAGACCCCGGCTGTGGCAGGGCCACTGACCTAGACACGGCCAAGGCCACAGTTTGGGCCTGTATGATGCCCTGGCTCTGGGTGGCATTTGTGTCTCACTCAGGTCAGTATGGGCCCAGCAGTGGCACAGCTCTCAGGCACCAAGAAGGCCACAGGGTGGGAGCCCAGACCTGGGCATCAGTGTGGTGTTTGGTAGCAACACGGGTCATGGACATCAGCACAGACTCAGACTGTGGTAGGACCACAGGCCAAGACTTGGTTCTTGGCAACAGCCTGGGCTCAGTTGGCATCGCAGATCATCAAGATTGGCATAGCCTCAGTGATGACATAGTCCCCAAAGACCAACATGTGCCCAGGTGGCAGTCCAGACCCCAGACATCAGCTCAGCCTTTGATTGTAACAGGAGCTATGGACATCGATACAGATCTTGGCTGTGGAAGGGCCACAATTTTTTTTTCGTTTTCTCTCTTTTTTTTTTTTTTTTGACACCATTCAGTGTACAGCTGTCACGCAGAGTCAGCATGAAGGGACACAAGTAGTACACTGGGTGTTTTGTTTTCTGATTTTTTAAATTCATGTTCAGTTTATCAGGAACATAAAATAGATTTTAAGCCTTTCTCTATTTCTGAAATTGAGAGAATTACGCAATTTGAAAAGACACCTTATGGAGTGTCAGCTTCCGCTCTGAGGAGGAGGGATAATATACCTCCTGGACTGGGGGTAGGACACAAAAGAGAGGGAAGCCCCACTGCCGGTGGGATGGGGTGGATCCCAGCATTCTTTTTGAAGCGCAGATCTCTGGTAGAACCATTCCTAAGTGCCCTGGGTGCTTCATACTGTGGGAGCATTGGGAACAGAAAGCTAGACTTTTGCTACCTGCTTCCCATGAATTCCTTGAATAGTCTCTTAGGAAGTTTCTGTCAGAGTCCAAAGTTAGACCCAGATTCCCAGGATGGGCAGAATTAGCTCTGTTTTGGGAGAAAAACTGGTTCTTCCCAAGGACTTGTCCTCTCCTCCTTCGGCATTTGCGCTCTGACAAGTTAGGAGTGGGGGGTGTGGGCAGCATGATAGGGACAGACAAGCATGGGTGGGTCAGGCCAAACCTACCGCACTACTTGGGAAATGCCTGCAATCTGACCCAGTGTTGCCATTTTGTGCAAAGAGACCTTGTCATTGTGTTTAAATAACAGTTCCTTGGTAGCTTATACAGTCATCGTGACATTCCTGAAAACAAATGGGCACAAATGCATGGAGAAGTCATCTCTTTATTGAAAATACAGATGCTGAGGGGGTACGAGCTTGAGTGTTAGCGGCAGCAAAAGCTTCTGAGCATCTGGCTCCTGGGTGAGGGCGCTTCTTTAGGACTTAATTCACAGTCTTCGGAAAAGAAGCACCTCTACACGCTTCTGATCTCTCTTGTATTGTTCTCGCCTCCCCTTAAACCAATTCTACAAGCCAGAAGGAAAAAAAAATCTGGTTCAGTAGGATAATCAGTATATAATCAGAAAACACACCATGGGGCGTTAGCTGCCCTTATATTTTATACTGCACAGAAGAACCTGATGTCTCACTGCCCTAATTCTGTGAGGGACTGAGAGGCTGGCACAGGGTCCAGTGCTTGACTAGAATGTGGGAGGCCCTGGTTTCCACCCCAGCACTGCAGAATAGTCCCAGGACAAATGTCCAGAAGTAGCATGTCTTTACCCATCTCTACAGTAATCCACTATGGAGGATGTGAGCAGCATTTTCAGGCAGATGCACCACTGTGCTTCAGACAGTCAGAATGATGAGTGCCCTAATCTGTGTGGCTTTACCAGGATCTTCAAACAGCAGCAGGAGGACAGGGCATTTGGACTCTATGCTTCCCCCATTCCCATCAGTCTCTGTTTAACCAATTTACACTAGCATTATGAAGAGTGCAAGGATCACCCTGTGAACTATCCTCACACCCACGTTACCCCTGTAAGGAACAGAATTTCTGTTTAGTTTTCAGTATTTCAAACAGTTTAGGATCATGGAACTCCCAATCCCATTTAAATTAATTAAAAGTAAATTTGAATTAATTTGAATAATTTATAACTATAGCCCTAGTGGGATGTCTTTACAGAGACATTCTATCTGAAGGATATTAGCATTACAAGGAGTTACACACAACATTTCTATATTAATATGCTATTAATAGAATAATTAACTCAGAAATTGTATTCATATTTATATGTTAAAACACTCATATTCATAATTTATCTATAGGATACATGTATGTGTCATACATATATGTCTAGGGAGTGAAAGGAGGTTAGTACTATTCTGTGTTCCCTTTGTAAGTTGTGCTTCATCTTGAAATGAGCCATTTTTAGTTGGTTGGATTTTCTTATCACATTTTATGCCCACAGAGGACATAAAGCTAAAAGTCATTTTAAGGGGCCTGTAGGGATCTCTAAGAGTCAAAAATACTTCCTGCTCCTATAAAGGACCTGAGTTTGGTTCCTATCACCTATATAAGGTAGCTCAGGACCACATGTAATTCAAGCTCCAGGGGATTTGACCCTCTCTTCTGACTTCTGAGGGTACCTGCATATAGACGCAGACACATCTATACACATGAATTGTTAAAACATCTTTTAAAAACATGTTATTTTGAAACATAATGTAAAAAAAAAAACATGACACAACAACTCTCCCCACAGGACGAAAGTATTCAAGATAAGAAGCAAATTCTAGAATAGCTGTTTTGCCGAATTGTCTTTTCCTTACCTGAACTCTAGTTTCAGTCACGCCTATCCATCTTGCCAGCTGTTTTCTGAGGGGAAAAATGACAAATAAAGTATATGAAAGATACTTTATATTTGTTTTTAAATGTTTGTCCCATCCTTCACCTACTGGGACATTCACCTTGAAGATTTTGAGATTTTAAAAAATTCTACTGGTGCTGGGCGGTGGTGGTGCATGCCTTTAATCCCAGCACTTGGGAGGCTGAGGGAGGCGCATCTCTGAGTTTGAGGTCTACAGAGTGAGTTCCAGGACAGCCTGGCCTATACAGAGAAACCCTGTCTCAAAAAACAAATAAACCAAACCTGCTGGTAATTTTGTTTTATTATCACCCACCATTAGCAGACATTAAAGCACACCATGTCTCCAATAAGAATTAAAAAAAAAAAACCACTAATCTGGACAGCATAAACCTCCAAAGAAATGCTCCTAACATCAAATGAGGTGGTTCACAAGACTTTCTCAAATAATAATAAAAAAAAGCTACAAAACAAACACAAATAGGAAAAACCTATGTGAGGCGTTTTGTCCGGATTGAAGGGTAAGCACGAATAAAGGAAGACAGATTAATGGGGGGGGACACATCTGAAGACTTCTAATGTCCAACTAACTCATGAGGATGTCCAGCCTGCTGACCACCAGGGAAACGAAATATCACGTTTATTTGTTGAATTTATTTAGTGTGCATTAATGCATGCATTCTGTAGGTGTAGGGGTGTGTATACCCATGCTCTGATGCACCTGTGCAGGTCAAAGGGCAACTGATGGGTGTTGGGTCTCTCCTTCCACCAAGAAAGTCATCCTTTATTATTTTAACCATTCAACTTTTCACACATCTTTCAACAGGACCTTACTCTTATAAAATTCATTGCCCAACGTTTTCCACTCTGATCCACTGAAATAATGAAAGAAAATACTTCCATTCCCATTGTCTTAGTTAGGGCTACTATTGCCGTGAGGAAAACACCATGACCAAAAGCAAATTGAGGAGGAAAGTGTTTCTTCGGCTTACACTTCCAGATCATCATTGGAGGAAGTCAGTACGGGAAGTCAAGTAGGACAAGAACTTAAGAGACAGGAGTTGATGCAGAGGCCATGGAGAGGAGCTGCTTCCTGGCTTTCTCCTTATGGAGCCCAGAATGACTGACCAGCCGAGGGATGGCCCTACCCACATGGTCTGGGGCCCCTCACATTAATCACTAATTAAGATAACACCCTACAGGCTGGTCTACATCCTGATCTTAGGGAGGCATTTTCTCAGTTGAGGTTCCCATCTCTCTGATGCCTGTAGCTTGTGTCAAATTCACAGAAAATTAGCCAGCACGCCCATTTTGCACGACTCTCACCACCCCCCCCCAAAGCACACTGGTGCAGAAAGCAGGAGTCCAGCAGCCTTGTTTTGGGAGGGGGATTTTATTTACATAGGGTAAGAGATGGGCTGAGGAGATAGTACAGAAGCTAAAGGCGACTGCCAGCAAGCCCGAAGGCCTGAGGGTGATCCTGGGACTCTGTGGTGGATGGAGACAAGGGACTAACTCTTGTATTCTGCCCTTCACACCATCAAATGACACTAACACCCACAGAAGCGCATTCCCACACCCACAAATAAAACCAAGCAAATGAATGAATTAGCAACATGCAGATTATAAGGAGTGGTAAAAGAGGAGGATCAGGGAGAGAGCCAAAAGTCACCCTGGGCCACCACCTGCTCCCACGAAACAGGGTTTCAGGCTACGCTATCTGCTTACCTCAGTTCTGCGCTGATGTAGTGATTTTGCTGGAAAAACCGCTCCAGCTCCTGCAACTGCCACTGGTTGAACTTGTACTGGAAGCCACGCTGGCGCACCAGCACGGACACAGGTTGTGCACATTCTGCAACCTCCATGTCCCTGGGGACTGGCTCTTTTGGCTGCTTCTCATTCTCCTGGTCACTGCGGCTGGTGCCATGGTCCTCTTGTTTCAAGTTATCCATGAGGCCTGAGGCACCAGCAGCTGAGGGCCCTTCTCCACTGAATTCTTCTGCTCCTTCCCCTTCGGCTGCGGCGGCTCCAGCCTGGGCCTGACCACTGTCATTTTCCATCCTTCCCTCTCCGGTCAGAAAGATCTGTGTCTTTACACCTGGAAGGAGAGAGACAGAGAAAGGCCAGGAGTTAAAGCCCAGGGTGACCCGAGGGCGCCGTCAAGTCGTAGCGAAGCCAGCAGCACACAGCGCCTGTCTAGTCGTCTCGGTGGGACACTCCTCCCCTCGTGGACATCTCCGATCCACCTTTCCCAGCACGCACTGACCATTCCGTTTTTCTTCATCCTTATCAAGTCCTTCATAAAGCGGGTAGTTGGTGTCTCGGCGCTCCATGTCTTGAATGCTCACTAGCAGCTTGCCTCAGGAGGTTCTGGGTTGGAGCTCCTGCAGTTACGAAAGCCCGAAAGCCAGAGCCTCTCAACCAGGAAGAGTTCTCTTTTGGCCCTGGGGGCCAGTAGTACAGGTTACCAACTATCCAATCATGAGCTTGCTATCCTGGCTTCCATTTGACCTCTGGCTGCTACAGGTTGAGCCCCTAAAGCGCAAAACAGAGCCCTTTGGTGCCGCAATGAGAAGAATATGTTTGCTTGGAAGGCACGGTCCTTGGGTTTGTAGGGATGTGGTCGAGACTCTCCAAGTCGCTGCTGAGCCTTGGTGAGTTATCTTCCTAGGGAAGGCGTGATAGTCATCTGTGCCAACAGATTTATATTGAAGAAGAAAAGCTCTGGAGGCTCTGGAGGCTCTGGAGAGATGTTTGTAGACTATCACTTAGTTGGAGCTGCTTTTTCACAGCCTTAATCACTGTGCTCTGAACAGAAGAAAGTGGATTTCTGAGAGTTCCAAGCCAGTCTGGTTTACATAGTGATTTCCCGGCCAGCCAGAACCACAGTGAGACAATTTCTTCTCAGGGCCTAGTAGTTTACCTGTTACTTAACAAAGAACAGAAATTAAAGATTATCCCATGAGGTCTTTTCCTTTGGGTTTTCATAGAAAGCGAATTTAGAGTCTGTCGTATTTGCATTGTCTGCCTTTACGGGAGCTGGGGCTTGGATTGGGGTTTAGTAGGACCTTAAAGCCTTTTTAGTGCTGTTAAGTACTGTTGAACCTGTGAGAATTGTCATACCTGGGCTGAGGTTACTCGCTTTTCTCTTGAATGCATTTCTAACGTCTTCTGTGAATGGTCAAAAGTCAAGAACAGACTTTTATGCCTGATTTCCATCCCAGAGTCAAGCAGCCCCTTCACTGGCATGTGTGGTCAGACTGGTCCCAAGACAGCCAGCTTTTCCCAGCATGTTCTGGTCAGTCTGAGAGTAGAAAGAGCCTCAGACTTATGATATCTCCAGGAAGTTCCTTTTGTAGGGTGCCTGAGCAGGAATTCTTCTCCCACCAAAAGATATACCTCAGAATTCCGGAAATAAGTCTACGTATGTATGTTTCCTGCCCTTTACTCTTTGCTATGTAGCCTGAAGCTGCTGTTGTCAAGGTACACAGAGCCTGGGAATTTTTTTCTTTCTAATTCTGGTCAAGATTGCAAAGATAACCACATCCGTGTTGAGCATATAGCTTACTGCATAGAGCCCTAGCCTAGCACACACACCACTATGGCTATTTCCAGCACTGTATAAGCCAGCACGGAGTCTCAGCTTGTGATGCCTGTAATCTTAGCACTCAGGAGGTAGAGGCATAAAGTTTAGAACTTCACCTTCAGCTACGTAGAATTTGTTTGAACCGAGCTAAGAACACATGCACTGTTTAAAAAAAAAGCAAACTCCATCTCCTCCCCAGAATTCCAATATTGCCATTTTGAAATAAGGTAGTGGGCGATGGACCCGATTTACATTCACTGAGACATGCTTCTTGTCTTAATATGTGATCTATCCCGAAAAGTGTTCCTAGTATATTTTTTAAAAAGTGTATTTTACTGCTTGTGGTTCTAATACACATAGGAGTTCTAGCTGGGTAGGGCTACTGGTTGCTTTTCCCCCTTGGCAGCTTACACAGCACCTTTGGAGACTACAACAGCCAGTCTTTGCGGAGGGGGGCTTTCATGGCAGTTCCGGTGGTATTTCTGCAAGTCCTGTGTGTGAAATGTCACATTTCCAGCAATACGGACTCACCGTTGCTTCTTGAAGGCCACTGAAAGCAGCAGCATTAGCCTGACAACTTTCAGGTTTTCTCACTCTCTCCAACTTGAAATGGGGCTTCTCATGCCTGCTACTGGGGGTTTTGTTATATAGTCTATACCTCTTGGGGGGAGCACTGTCAGCCCAAGTGGGATAACTGAGCTTAGAGAATATATTTTTCCTAAGCTAGTCTAAGTGCTCTTGCACATGCGTATACACACACACTTACATATCCTAAGCATGTATATGTGTTTATACACATAGACTTAGATGTATTATGTGTAAATTTAGGTAAACAATTCCTTATTTTTTCCAGACATCCTTAGTGTTGTTTTACCCTCTCTCTCTCTCTCTCTTTAATGACCTCCCTCTCCACCCCGCAATTAAAGGGCCACATTTCCCCCATTTCTCTCATTTGTGTACTGCTGTTCTCTAGTGCTATCCGCCCCCCATGGTACCTTTTTGCTTTGCTGGTTCCTGCGGCTACTCCAGGATACGTACTGCCATCCGAAGATTTGGAGCTTGGAGCTTCACATGAGGGAGACCACTCTTCATTTGTCTTTCTGGGTCTGGCTTATCTTGCACAATATATTTCCTAGCTTTATCCACTGCAGATTTAATAACTTCATCTTTTTTACAGACAAGTACTGTGGTAGAGCGTGTCTGTACTACATTTTCGCAATCCATTCATCACTTGAAGGACATTTAGGTTCTTCCCATTTCCAGACTATTATGAACAGTGCCGCAGTGAACATGCCTGAGCTCGTCTCTGTGGAATAGGACGTTTTGGCCATATGCCAAGGAGTGGTATATCGCTGGGTCCTCTAGTAGATTCAATTTTAGCTTTTCGAGACTTCTCCACACTGATTTTCAGAGCGACAACGTCACTTTTTGTCACCTATGGTGAGCAAGGCTTCCCTTTCCCATATCACTGCCAGCATTTGCTGGCAGTTCTTCTCGGCAGTTTAGCCATTTTCACTGGGGGAAGTTATTTTCAAAGTGGTTTTCATTTGAATTTTTCTAATTGCTGAGGATATTGAACACTTTTTGAGATTTGCTTTAATTATTTCTTATTCTGAGAGCCCCCTGTCCAGATTCATAGCCCATTTTTTTTTTTTTACTTTGGGTCATTTCTTTTCTTGAGTTTAGTGGTGTTATTATTTGTGTGAGTGCTCTGGACATTGTGGATATGAGTTGTTTGTCTGATGTACTGCTGACAAAGATTCTTATTCACTTTCAAGGCTTCCAAGCCAGTCCGAATCAAAATTCCCACATCCCTTACAGACTTAGAAAAAAATCTTGATTATTTCTTTTGCTGTAAGAAGCCTTTCATTTTATGAGTTTCCATTTGTCAATTGCTGATCTTAATTCCTGAGCAAATGAAATCCTATCCAGAATGTCCTTTCCTATGCTTATATCTTGTGGGGTAATGCCTATGTTTTACCCCCCAGTAATTCCAGCATTTCAGGTTTCATTCTGGGGCCTTTAGTCACTTAGTCCATTTGGCATTAATTTTTGTTCCATTTACATGCATGTTTGTTGTTGGTGTATATGCAAGGCTACTGGCTTGAAGTAGTTTTTTTTTTTTTTTGAGACCTTGTAGCCCTGACTAGCCTTGAATTCACTATGTAGACTAGGCTGGCCTCAAAACCACAGAGATCCCCCTGCCTCTGCCTCCTGAGTGCAGGGATTAAAGGCGTGCACCACCAACATTTGGCCTAGTTTTGTGGTTTGATTTTGTTTCCTGCCACTTTGTTGATCTTTTTTATATATGCCTGTATTTGGCTTGCCAGCACTTTTTCTTTATTCCCATAAAAAGTTCAGGCAATGCAGTAGCAGTAGCCATTTCTAAATCCAGTTCTGATGAAATTCGGTGTGGGGTGGAGGTACAAAGCCCCTAGGAATAACTGGCTGAACTGGGGAGCTCCAGGTTCAGGGAGAGACTTTGTCTCAAAAAAAAATAAGGCAGAGAACCAGGCAGTGGCAATACATGCCTATAATCCCAGCACTTGGGAGGCAGAGGCAGGCAGATCTCTGTGAGTTCACTACAGAGTGAGTTCCAGGACAGCTAGGGCTGTTACACAGAGAAACCTGGTTTCAAACCCCTCACCCCCCCCTAAAAAGCTAGAGAACAATTGAGAAAGACACCTGACATAGAACATCTGGTTTCCATATGCACAAGCACACGTGCATACACACCCTTCATGCACATCACTAGAAAGAAAAACCAATAATGTTATTTAGAGGTAAGATACTAGCTTCCATTTTGATCTCAGTTTATATGATTTTGAAGTGATCTTTGAGTCACTAAAGTCTTTGGCCTACAATTGAATTTTATTTCTTATCAAGCACATGGGAAATTTCTTTGAATTTTACTTGTCTCTCTGTATATTTTTCTAGATTTTGCTTTTAAAATGCTTTTATTTTATGTATGTGGGGGTTTTGCCTGAATGAATATCTGTCCACCAAGTGCATGTAGTACCTGAGCAGTCCAAAAGAGGGTGCTGGATCCCCTGGGACTGGAGTTACAGATGGTTGTGAGCTACTATGTGCTTAGAGGGCACGAGTGAGTGGGTCTCTGATTCTTCTCATATCTTTTCTTTAACTTTTATTGATTCTTCATGGATTTCACACCACACACTAAAATTCCACTTATCTCGCACCCTTATTCTCACATTTGCCCTCTGCTCTTGCAACCTCCTCCCAAAACCAAACCGAATTTAAAAGAAAAAACCAAACCAAACCAAACCAAACAAAATGAAACCAAAAAGGAGAATAATTTGTAATGGAAGCTGTAGTGTGGCCTGTTGTGTCACATGTAAACAGAGACTGCACTTTCATTTCCTGGCTGCCCAGACTCGAATAATCACACAGAAACTATATTAATCACAGCACTTTTTGGGGATGGCTCAGACATATTTCTAGCTAGCTCTTACATCTTAAATTAACCCATTTCTATTTGTCTATGTATTGCCGTGTGGCTGTGGTATTACCTCATTTTTTACATGTCTTGTTTCCTTAGTGGCTGGCTGGCATATGCTTGACTCCGCCTGCTCTCTCTCTATATCTCTATTCTGCTAAGCCACTGGCTGAACAGCTTTATTCATCAACCAATAAAAGCAATACATATACAGAAGGACATCCCACATCACCCACACAGTTTTTACCCTTTAGTTCATTTATCTTTACTTGTAAGTGTTCATTGCCATGAGACATTGGTCTGGCTCGAGGCCTCTGGCTTCTGCTACACCACCAATAATGGGCCCTCACTGGGCCTCCTCTTGCATATCCTATTGTCCTGTGTCATGGAGATCCTGCAGTTTGGATTTGAAGGGTTGTCCCCTTTACATGTGCCAACAGTTCCTAGATGATGAAGTGGATGTGGAGGTGGGCCAACTCATAATCCTAATTCTGGGCCTGGATGGGGGCTAGGTTGGCCAACCCGTCAGCTTTCCCTCAGCATCACTACCTGGGTGAGCGCTCCAGCACTGCCTTGGCTATTTCACCCAATGCAACCTGCAGCAAGGTGAAGGGCCAGCTCTCCTGCTCTCAGGTCCTCAGACCCTGGTCACCTATACTCACACCACCAGGACTAACTCTACTGTTTTGCCCGGGAGAGGTGCAGGGCCCTCTCTCCTGATTGCTGTAGGGGGCAGATGGGGCAGTGTGTGTGTGCCGGTTCAGCTCTCCTGCTTTCATACCCTCAGAGCTGGTTCACCTGCACACCTGACAACAGGGTCAGTGTTGCCCAGGTGGAGTGCAGGGCCTGCTGTTTTGTGAGGGCGGGACTAGTTCTCTCACTCTCATAACCCAGGGCAAGCTCTCTCTCATAGCAAGGGGTGGAGCTGGGCGGGGGAGGGCATCTTTCCCTCACCTATGCCACCAAATGGCAGACACAGGGGACAGGGTGAGATCTGTTGCTCCCACACTCTCAGGGCTGCCTCACCTGCATCCCTGTCGATAGGGATAATTCTAGTGTGCTGTCCTTGTATACTTGTCCCATAAGTCACGTTTGAAACAGGCTATGTATGTTAGCTATGTGCTCTAGGTCCTTAGAACAAACATCACACCAAACCCTCTCTTGGCACCCTTAAGTGAAGGATGCCACTCTTGCCTCTCTTGGGAGCATCAGCCTGTGCTTCTAAGATTGGAAGTGTGAGACAGAGGACAGCAGGAGGTACAAGCAGCTGGGGGGAATTCAGCTGGAACCTCCAGCTCACTCCTGCTTGATCCAGAAAGCCCCGTTCCTGTTCCTCTCTCTCCAAACCCCACCCTCTCAGAGAAACTCCAACAAAGAGAAGTCACCAAAAAGCCCAGTTCTGCATTCTTGGTGACCGTGGCAGCTCCCCCTGAAGTTGCCAGTAGCCCAAGAACCCACCTAAAGTGGTCAGTTTTTGACCATACTCAGGCACAAACCCAGCTTGTGGAGGACACATCATCACCCCTCCCCTACAGAGATGTATGCTTCCTGTTTTAGTTTGGCCACAATGACTTCTCTGCCCTGATCTCTGGGACTGGAGGACTCACCCAGGAGTTGCTTTACTTAAATAAACCCATTCTTTCATCTTTTCCGTTTGGCTTGATCTGGCTTACCGTTTGGTAGAGAAACCTATTATTGTGCTAGAAAACCCATTACTGGGTTCTGAGTCTGACAGAGCAGCTACTGAAGAATTCCAGCCCTGAATGGGGTGGGGGTGTGAACTTTTGCATCAGTAATGAAGTCGTTGGGGACCATGGGCTTTGGGAGTAGAGATACCTGCTTCTTCTCAGTGTCCCTCCACATCTTCTGTGACTCTGGAAGATCCCAGGAACTGATGTGGGAGTGTCATATCAATCTGTTGATTTCATTGGCTGAGCAATAAAGAAACTGCTTGGCTGGCCCTGATAGGTTAAAGCATAGGTGGGAGGAGAAAACAGAATAGGATGCTGGGCGGAAGAGGAAGTGAGGTCAGACTCTGCTCTGCTTCCAGAGAGACTTGACAGCTCTGCTCTCTGGAGCAGAGACGCCATGCTCTGCTCTCCTGATAGCTCTGCTCTCTGAGGCACACACGATGAAGCTCCAACCCAAGATGGACATAGGCTAGAATCTTCCCGGTAAGCGCACCTTGGGGTGCTTACACACATTATTAGAAATGGGTTAGAACAATATGTAAGAGCTAGCCAATAAGAAGCTGGAACTAGCCTGGCCAAGCAGTGTTTAACAGAATACAGTTTGTGTGTTGTTATTTCGGGCATAAGCTAGCCAAGCAGCCGGGGTGTTGGGGACGCAGCCCCGCCGCTCCTATTTCAACAAGGAACGAAGAACCACAAGGTGGCTACAGTAATGTAGCACACTGGGTGTTTCCTGAGTTTTTAAGGGCTATCTCATTTACTAGAAGCTATTTAAGAAGTTACGGTATTGAAAAAAAATAAAGATTTTAAATATTAGTCTCATTCTGAAACTTCGAGAAGATATCTTAAGTGTCAGTCAGCGTATGCTCTAGGGAAAAGGGACAACATGCCTGCTGGGTTTAGCTCAGGGGACAAAAGAAAGAGCCTCATTATGGACTGGGTGGGATAGGTTCTTCTCTTCCCTTCGAAGCAGCAAGACTCTGGCAAAGTGACTGAAATGTCCTGTGTTTGCCATGGAAAGGGATAGAAGAGAAGAGTTTGCGGAGCAGCCTAAATTAAAAGACACTGGGCTGCTTCCCAAGAATCCCATGAATGGCCTATATAAGAAAGTTTCTGAGAGATCAGGTTGAACTAAAATTCTGAGTATGACCAGAGTCAGCTCTATCTAGATAAACACCGTCTCTCCCTAGGGTCTTCTTGTCCTAAATCTCTTGTATATTTTTTGTCCTAAGTGGTAGGAGAAGGGGTAAGCCCAGCATGACAGGTGAATAAAAAAGAAGGTGTGGGTCAGTGAAAACCTACTATGCAATTTGGAAAGCTCTGGAAAGCTCCTGAAATACAAAAGGCCTCCATAAGGTAGAACGGCAATTTCATCTCATGCAAGGAGGCCTTGTTATTCTGTTTAAAGGAAATGTCTTCAATAACTTACACACATATTTTACTAAACCAGAAAGCACATGGAACAAACTTATTGAGAGTCTACAATCTTTATTAAGATGTGAATGATTTGAAAATATGACTATAACAATGTATTGTTGATGACAGAAAATTAATCCGTGTATCTGACACCTGGTGAGAGTCAAGGTCTCCTCCACAGTCTTCAGAGAGAGAGGTTACGGGAAGCCGGAGGAGAACCTCTGGGTGCTCACAGTCTCATATATCTTCTGTGTTTCTCTCTCCTCTTCTGAAACCATCTCTACAGTGATTGAAGAAAAGGAATCGGTTCAGCACATTAAACTTTAAGGACCACGGCTGAAAAGGCTGTCATGTAACCTAACATATCAGTGATCATTTAGACCGCACAGAAGAACCTGCTGTCTCACTGCCCTAATTCTGTGAGGGGCTGAGGGGCTGGCACAGGGTCCAGTGCTTGCCTGGAATGTGGGAGGCCCTGGTTTCCACCCCAGCACTGCAGAATAGTCCCAGGACAAATGTCCAGAAGTTGCATGTCTTTTCCCTTCTCTACAGTAATCCACTCTGGAGGATGTGAGCAGCATTTTCAGGCAGATGCACCAGTGTTTACATAAACTTTATGAGTGCTGGGTTCAGCCTGTGAACTATCACCTCACTTAAATTGTTCCTGTAAGGATAAAATCTATACTTCATTTTTAGTATTTCAAGTAGTTTAGGGTCATGGAGCCACTAGTCAAACTAATTTGAATAGTTTATATATCACAAACCCAGTAAGACTCCACAGAGAAACCCTACCCAGAGGATATCAGTATTACAAGGAATAATATATGGAATATCTACTTATTTATCTAGATGTAATTAATATCTCTGTATATATACTACATACCTATTTTATAAATTAAAACATATATGCTCATAATTTATTCATAGGATACATGCAAGTGGAACATATATGTGTCTATAGAGTAAAAGCAGTTTTTAGTACTATTCTTTGTTTCTTTCAGAAGTTATGTTCCGTTATGGGATGTGTCCTTTCTGTAGGGAGGCTTCATTATTTCATTTCTACTCACAAAGGACATAAAGCTCAAAAGTCATTATGAGGGGGATGCAGAGATGCTCAGCAATTAAGAGCACTTGAGGCTCTCGCAAAGGACTAGAGTTTGGTTCCCAGCACCTATTGTGGGTGGATCACAACCACCTGTAACTCCAGCTCTAGGGGGTTGATGCATCTTCTGGTACTGGTACTTGTACACGTGTTGTATATGCACACAGAGACACACACATAATAAAATTAGAAAAACAAATTTTAAAAATAATTTTCAAAGTGTTAAGCCAACAACAAAATAATTTCATAGATAAAAGAGCCCAAAACCTAAAGTAAGTTTTAGAATGACTGTCCTGACAAATGGCTTTTTTCAGTTTACTGACCTTCACCACGGCTTCATTCACACCCATCCATCTTGCTAGTTGTTTTCTGAGGGCAAAAATAGCAGATGTTCAGTATTTAGCATTAGAGATGAAATATGTGAAAGCTATTTCATATTTGTTTTAAAATATTAGGCTCATCACCCACCTTCTGTGACATTCACCTTTAAGGCTTTGGAGCTTTAAACAAATTCTACAAGCATTTTTTTAAATTAATGTACCATTCACAGACATGAAAACCCAAGCATGACCCCAATAAGCAATTTTAAAAGCACCAACACAGGCACCAATAACCTCAAAAGAAATGCTCTTAACACTGGGTGTAGTGGTGTAGGAGACTTTGTCTCTAAAAACAAAAGAAAACAAAACAAAGAAAAATCTACAAAGCAAATACACAAGCAAAACCCTGTGTGAGGCCCTTTGCCTGGACAGAAGGATTAAACTCAAAAGAGGATGGATAAATAAAGAGCACATGAGGATTTTTAATATTCAGCTCATGCGCAAGAATGTCCAATGTGATCCATCATTGGGGGAAATAGAATATTACCTTTATTTTAATTATTTGGTGTGTGTGTGTGCGTGTGTGTGTGTGTGTGTGTGTGTGTGTGTATACATGCACATGTGCCCCAGAACCACAGCAAACAAGGGGAGGCTAAAGGATGCCTGATGGAAGTTAGTTTCCTTCTTCTACCACGGATGTGGATTCTGAGGGTGGAACTTAGGTTCTCCAGCTTGGTGGCAAGTGCTTTTACCAACTGAACATCTCACTAGCCCCAGGAAATAAAATATTTAAAGCATAACAGACAGGGAACATTAGAAAAACCTTCCAGAATACCTTTCTTGAATTCCTAGAGTAAGAGAGGCTCAGGTAAAGGGTCCTTGCAAGTTCCAGGCCAGCCAGGACTACAGAGTGAAATTACCCCTCAATAAATAAGAATAAACAGAAAAAGAAACCCAGAAAAGCTGGAGCATGCCTTAGATCTAAGTCCAATATTAAGTATTGCTTTTATGAACCCTTTTTTGTGGAATAGGTAGCAAAAAGGGAGGCCAAAAATAGGAGGAGAAAGTTGGGGTCAGGCTTCGCAGTACATTTAAACCAAGCACTTAGGGGGCAGAGGTGGGTGTTTCTCTGGCTTTAAGGCCAGTCTGCTCTACTGGCCTCAAATGTGAGTTCCAGGCCAGGAAGGGATTCATAGTGAGACCCCGAAGGTGGGGGTTAAGGAGAGAAATGTTCCAATGAGTTCATAATTATAAAAATTACAAAAGAAAAACAAGATGTGCAGAGTTATCTAAACTTTTCACAAGAGAAGGATGTCATTCTGTATTATCCCAAACATAACCTCAAGCTTACACGCCTCTTTTAAGAGGACTTTACTAATATAGCAGACATGACCTGAAGTTTTCCACTTGATTTATTTACATATTATAAAATACATTTATTCCCATTTTGCACGACTATTACAGTTTCAGAGGGTGAGTCCATGACCAATACGACAGGAAGCAAGGCAGCAGGTAGGCAGGCATGGTGCTGGAGCAGTAGCTGAGTGCTTACATCTTCATCGACAAGCATCGACAAGCACTCGGCCGGGGGTGGTGTTAACTGGGAATGCCATGGGCCTGCTCCAGAATTATAGTGCAGGACACAGGATCCAGCAGCCCAAATTTTTCAGGAGTCTAATATTTCAAGAGGCAAGTGTTTTGGGGGGCTGACAAGATTGCAAAGTGGGGTACTACTGGCCTGCTGGCCTGCTGGCCTGCTGACCTGAATTTGATGCATTGACTTACTCCTACAACTGTCCTCTGACCTCCACATGTGCCAAATGGTGTGTGTGAACGTACACACACACACACACACACACACACACACTCCACACTCACTAACGCACACCGACAAGTAAATGGAGTTAAATAAATAATATGTAATTAAAAAAAATAAACGACGGCATGTCGAGGACCAGGGAGAAAGTCAACTGTCATGGGGGACATGCTCTCCTTAAGTAAGGCATCAGGCCAGGCAAAATCCTTACCTTGCTTTAACGCCGAGGGAGCCACTGGCCTGGAAGATGCGCTCCAGTTCCTCCAGCTGCCACTGGTTGAATCGATGGCGTAGGCGACGTCGTGGCACCTGCCTCGGCCCACTATCTGGAATCGGTACCGCCGGCACTCTCTCGCCACCCACACGATCAGGAATCCGCTCATTTGGTTGCTGCTCACTCCCGTGGTCTCCGTTGGTATCACCATCATCCTTGTTCATGTCATCATCTACGGGGCGTGAAGTGCCAGCAGCAGAATGGCTTTCGCCATTTGACTCCTTTTCTGTTTCCCGTACTGCTGCTACGGGTCCACATGCTGACTGGCCCTGTCCACTCTCTTCCTCATTTCTTCCGTCTTCAGCGGGTAAAGCTTTCATACCTGGAAGTGGGGAAACAAAAAGATGAGGCATCAGGCGAGGGCTCGGCATAGGTGTAAAATCACGGCGAAGCCGGAAGTGTGCTGTGCCGTGTCCAACCATCTCTCCCGAACCCTTACTCTCATGGAGATTGTTAAACCACCATTCCCAACCACTTACTGACCATTCCCTCCTATCCTGTCAGTCTCATCAACTCCCAGATTGAACAAGTAGCTGATCCTGTAACACCACATACCTTGAACGCTGTCCATTTTTGTTCTACGTCTACCAACTGTGACGGAATCTTCGGAAGTTCGGTATAAGAGTAGAACTGTGACCCTTGACCTGGAAGAGATTTTTTCCCGCCTACTCCCTATATACAATGTGTCCAGTTATAGATGTACTGTCCTGGCTTCTTGCGGGTTGATCCCTGAGGTGCCTACATAAGAGCAGTTTGATGCTTCAGTGAGCAGCATGATTTTTTTTTAATTTATTAAAGATTTCTATCTCTTCCCCACCGCCGCCTCCCCTTTCCCTCCCCTTTCCCCAATCAAGTCCCCCTCCCTCGTCAGCCCAAAGAGCAATCAGGGTTCTCTGCCCTGTGGGAAGTCCAAGGACCACCCTCCTCCATCCAGGTCTTATAAGGTGAGCATCCAAACTGCCTAGGCTCAGCAGCATGGTTTTGAAGGGAGGGCAGGGTTATTAGAAAAGTAGACCAGATATGGCCTTTAAAATACCATCTCAGCTAAGTCCTCTGACCTTGGTGAATTATCTTTCTAGAGAAGGGGTGGTGGTCAACTATGGAAAACAAATCTTAGGGCATAAGAAGAGATTCCTCAGTAGCTCTGGAGATATTGGGGACATTTTGGAGAATTACCTCTTGGTCTAGTGTCCCACCCAAGGTCCTTGGTAGTTGGCAGAGACAATAAATGAATGCGATTATCTAGGAGGCCTCTGCCTTTGAGTTTTTGCAGAGTGTGAAGTTAGATCCTGTGGTTGCTTTAATGCTAATGACCCCTATAGACTTATATATTTGAATGCTTGTTCCCCAGTTGGTAGAACTATTTTGGAAAGATTGGGAACTATAGCCATGTTAGAGGATGTCTGGCCTTGTTGGAAGAGGCATGTTGTTGGAGGTGGGCTTTGAAGTCTCAAAGGCCCACGGCATTCCCAGTTAACACCACCCCCGGCCGAGTGCTTGTCGATGAAGATGTAAGCACTCAGCTACTGCTCCAGCGCCATGCCTGCCTACCTGCTGCCTTGCTTCCTGCCATATTGGTCATGGACTCACCATCTGAAACTGTAAGCAAACCATCAGCTAAATGCTTTCTTTTATAAGTTGCCTTTATGGTGGTATCTCTTCAAGCAATAGAAAAGTAGCTAAAATAGAGCCTGCTTGCTTCCATGTTCTGACTTTGCAGGAGCTTGGGCAGGGTTGCAGGACCTGGGGCTGTTCAGCAGGCAGATCGATGGGATCATCTTCACCAGGGCTACTGAGGAGGAGCTTAGTAGTACTGTCCAGACAACATGAGCACTGGCAAAGAGTGAGAACAGTCACACCTGTGCTGAGGTTCCTCACCTTTCTCTTGAACGCATTTCTAACATCTTCTGTGAATGGTCAAAGTGTCAAGAGCAGGCCTTTGTGCCTGGTTTCCATCTCAGCGTCAAGCAGCACCTTCACTGGCATGTGGTCAGACTGATTCCAAGGCAGCCAGCTTTCCCCAGCATGTTCTGGTCACTCTTAAAATGGAAGGGGCCCTAAAGTACTAGTGTCTGTCCAGACACACACTATTTGGGGCTGGGAATATTCTGGAGCTCTGGTGCTGAAATTCTTCCAGAATAAGATTTACCTCACAGTTCTGGTAACTACCTCACCCCTAAATCTACATATTTGTCATTCCTGAATTTTCTTCCCTCTTTCCTCTAAATACTGACATTGCTTTTGTCAAAGTATCAAGAATATGAGATTTTTCTTTCTAGTCTGACCAGAATAGTAAAAACATACATTTCTGAGCTGGGGTTGTAGCTCAGTTTGCAATAGTTCTTACCTAGCATGCTTAAAGGCACAGGATCCCTATGAGCTGCATAAAGCCAATATGATGTGTGCCAGTTCTGTAATGCTATCAGTTGAGGAGTTGGACGCTGTAACGCCAGAGTCATCCTAGTCTACAAAGTGAGTTTGTGTTCAGTAAGGGACACATGACACTATCTAAAAATAGAAAATGACACTCTGTCTAAAAAAAGACAACCATTTCTCTCTACCAATTATGCTATTTCTATTTACAGTAAACAAGTGAGCAGGGGGTCTGATTTAATTTTGAAAATTCACTAATGTGTTTTTGTCTTATTATGTAAACTATCTGGAGAATATTCCCTGTATGTTTGAAAAATATATATATATATTACTTCTTGTGGTTAGAATTTCCAGTTTACCTTTTAGGCTTTAATATAGTGAGTTCACATTGCCTTAGAATGCTCTATTTTTATTATATATTATTAAAAATGATATATTAAAATCTATATTGTTATAGAACTGTCATTGTCTCACTTCATATTATTATTTCAGGTGAGCTTTTTTAAAATGTTTTTTTTTTGGCACAGAATTTCATGTAGTCTCACTAGTCCCAGAATTCCCTATATCTTAGGATAACCTTGTTCTGGTCCTCTTCTACCTCTCTCCCATTTTCTGGGATAATAACATTGCTACCAACATCCCCTGCTAACTTTTTGAATAATTGGTTATATAAGATATGAAATTATCCATTGACAGGGCTTTAAATTTTATTTTCAATGCCTTAAATATGTTGTCCAAGGTATTTTATGACCTCCATGTTTTCTGAGGGCACTATTCATAATATTGATATGCCATTGGATGTGATGCTACTTCTCTCTTGCTGTTATCATGAACAGGTGAGCTTCAGTGTAAATATCAAGCTTACTATGTTTTAAGGTGGTTAGGCTTTCTTACATGACTAGTAATTTATCCCTTTATCCTATCATTTCTATATCATTTTTCATTTTTTTCTTTAGAAAGAGATCTTTGAATTTAACTCTTTAGTTGTTTTTATTTGCTTGGGATAATGCTCTTGTACACTATAAAGATTTGTCACTTGTATTAGTTGAATGAAACACTGATTGGACAGTATCCAGGCAGAAAGTATAGGCAGGGCTACCAGACTCAGAGAATTCTGAGAAGAGGAAAGGCAGAGCATGAGTCACCAGTCAGATGCAGAGGAAGCAAGATGAGAATGCCTCACTGAGTAAGGCATCAAGCCACATGACTAAACATAGATAAGAATTATGGGTTAGTTTAAGTTGTAAGAGCTAGTTAGTTATAAGCCTGAGTTAATAGGCCAATCAGTTTATAATTAATATAAGCCTCTGTGTGTTTCTGTGGCTGAGCAACCAGGCAGAACAGAAAATTCTGTCTACATTGCCTACCACCAATAACAACTTGTAACCAACCCTCCTTAAATGACAATACACATCCATAACACATTTTTGGGAAGGTGGGTATAGTTCTCTAGACTATTCCTGTTGTTTGGGGCACTAACATCTTTGGAGAAACCTTAAATCAGGATAATTGTTAGCACTTATCTTTGTCAGGATAATTGCTAGCAAAAGTCAGCTGGAGTAATCTGTGAGACTGAATCATCTCAGTCAGCAGCCTCAAAGCTGCTGGATCACCTGGGGCATCATTTAAATTGGTATCTGGTCCACTTTCTCTGAAAATGTATAAACTTTTAAAGGTAACATACAAATCTGTATTAGTATAAGTATAGATTGTGCTTTGTACATGAGTCAGTTAAAGATGACTTTTTGTTATGTGTTTAAGCAGGTAAAATATACACCACATGTCTTGTAGTCCTCCTAGGTTTATTTCTTTAGGTTTTTAGCCAGGATTTCCAGGGGGATCTTCCTCAATCAAACCTGATTTTCTTTAACCTGGAATGAATCCATAGCCTTTCATTTCCTGTGGAAATAAAAGCATAACCTCTTCCCCCAAATAACATATTTTGACTTAAAATTTGAAGTAATTTTTAAAATATATAGGTTGGTTGAATCTAAAAGTTTTAAAATCCAGTTTCTCTTAGCAGTCAAAAATTTAAAGACAATAAAAAACATACAGGATCCAGATTCTCTGTGTGTTTTTTATCTTTATGTAGCTTATTATATTTTTTTTCTTACTGTATTCCTTTTTAAGGACTTTATTTAACTTTTTTTCTTTTCTCTCCCAAACCTGTATATGTTTTTAAATACACTGTAACCTGTTTAGAGGTTTATTCCTGTCTGAATCTGTCTTAACTGCATATTTGTAGCCTTTTCTGTCTGCATGAACAACCCTCACCCCCCCGCCCCGCCCCCCAAATCTTCCATGCAGCATGTAGTCTAAGCCCATAGGCAGCAGCTGAGAGATGATACCTCTCTGTACTGGGGCCCATATGAAAGACTGCAGGCATGAGAAACACAAGAATAAGAAGCCGAGTTTAGCTCTGTTTTTGGTGCTTTGAACCTTTTTTTAAAGAAAGCCTTTTCAGGTCTTATGTGGATCTACGTTGGATAGTGGGTACCATTTGTAGTCAGAAGTTTCTGTCCTGTCAGCCTGCTCCTGAATAACCAACAGCTACTTCCTGCTGCAGGAGCTCCTTCTGCTCCTTTAGCCAATAGCCTTTGATATACCATCCCACTGGGGTGTGGTCTCTTTCACTTTAAAAAGAAGCAGCAGCCCTCTTCTTGCTCTTTTGCTTCGGACTCCTTTCTTGGATAACATATAGTTATCCTCCTGGATATTGGAAGTAGACAAGATTGCCAGGCAAAAGTTGGGAGCATGGGGGTGGGGTGGGGTGGGGTGGGGTGGAGTGGGGGTAAGAGGATATGGGGAAAGAGAAGGGAGAAGGGGAGGATTGGGGAGAGCTTGGGGGAATGGGATGGTTGGGATGGAGGAGGGTTGGATATGGGAGCAGGGTAGTAGATATCTTAATTAAAGGAGCCATTTTAGGGTTGTCAAGAGACTGGACTCTAGAGGGGTTCCCAGGTGTCCAAGGAGATGTCCCCAGCTTGTTCCTTGGGCAGCAGAGGAGAGGGAACCTGAAATGGCCCTATTCTATAGCCACACTGATGAATATCTTGCATATCACCATAGAACCTTCATCTGGCGATGGAAGGAGATAGAGACAGAGACCCACACTGGAGCACTGGACTGAGCTCCCAAGGTCCAAATGAGGAGCAGAAGGAGGGAGAACAAGAGCAAGGAAATCAGGACCACGAGAGG